ACAGCAGGACTATTTTAAGTTCATCAGTTGCAAACATGACTTTTGACATAATGAAACAATGTTTGGGTTTGTTAATGTTACACAAGTAAATCTATGTAATTGAATCAACAGCAAGACTATTTTAAGTTCATCAGTTGCAAACATTACTTTTGACATAATGAAACAATGTTGAGGTTTTTCAATGTTACACAAGTAAATCTATGTAATTGAAACAACAGCAGGACTATTTTAAGTTCATCAGTTGCAAACATGACTTTTGACATAATGAAACAATGTTTGGGTTTGTCAATATTACTCAAGTAAATCTATGTTAATTGAAACAACAGGACTATTTGAAGTTCATCAGTTACAAACATGACTTTTGACATAATGAAACAATGTTTGGGTTTGTCAATGTTACACAAGTAAATCTTTGTAATTGAAACAACAGCAGGTCTGTCTTAAGTTCATCAGTTGCAAACATGACTTTTGACATTATGAATCAATGTTCAGGTTTGTCAATATTACACAAATAAATCTATGTTAATTGAAACAACAGGACTATTTGAAGTTCATCAGTTACAAACATGACTTTTGACATTATGAAACAATGTTCGGGTTTGTCAATGTTACACAAGTAAATCTATGTAATTGAGTTACAAACTTGAATCATCTGCAGAATTAATTCAATCACCATGGAAACGATGTCAATAATTTGACATTTGACAAGTGTCGAATTTGAATCTACAGACATTTCCACTTATCAAACTGATCAGTAGAGTATTAGTAAGGATTAAATAAGTTTCAAACTTTAGACAGTTTACTTCTACAGAGATACCAGTAAATTAATGAATATTTAGAAGAGTTTCTGACTGTAAGTAGAAAAGATTTGTTTAACAACAATATAGAAGTTAAAAACTTACATACAAAACAATAATTGGAATGAATCAAACTATTTTTCATAACTGAAAATGAAACTAAATAATTTAAACTCAAAGAAATTCTATATTTTTTTTGCTACTCGCAGCGGCAGATGATAATCCTGCTCATCTGCAGCAGGACGAGATCGTGTCGTCGCCTGCTGCTAATCGTCCTGCACGCTCGTCCTCCGTCGTCGTCGCCGCTGAAAATTTAATTGGAATCTGCATGAATTTTAATATGAAACTTTCGAGCTCACCAACAGTTGGAACATTAATTTTTCTAGCTCTCCGCGAAAAAGTTTTTCAAAGTAATTCCGACGCGACCAGCCTTCTTCCTTCAGGCATATTTCTCATTCATATTTATTTTTTTCTACGCATAAATACATTAATTTTCATTGAAATTACACCGACAAAATTTCTTTCTTATTGAATTGTCAACATTATTGTAATTATTTTCAAAATAATATAATTATAAAAAAAAAACATACATATTTTATTTATTAACTAAACTATTTTTGGAATCATTGTCATGTCCTAGGGACACTGTAGGATATCTTCTTCTCTTGTCTCTCGTGGAGCCTTAGGTTTCATAAATAATAAATTGAACGAGTTTCACTTTCGGTTTATTATTGAAATATTCGATAGGACTTGATTCTTTAACGTTCTTCCTAAGACTAATTACAAATACTTATTCTACGTATAAAATTAACTAAGCAAGGGGGTGGTAGTCTGAGAATTAGGGCACGGTTTTGATAAGACGCTCCGCTTCAGATCACTGCTTCTGTAAGGATTCTGCCAATTCTGCGTTCCCAGTTGAAAATATGAGCAATATTCTTATTAGTAGATAATCTCGTTGAATCTGGTTTCTCAGTTGAAAATAGGAAGAAATGTTACAATCGGTCTCACGGTGAAGGTTCCTTTTTTGCTTATGTATATATTTATATAATAAGGCGACTAAGTGACGCCGTGGTTATCTCTAATTCGTTAATACACTATATTAACAATAATAATTGTAATAATAACGGTTGGAAATAAGATTAAATTAAAGAAATTTTTAGCACTGAAGAAGTAAACTGTCTAAAGTTTTAAACTTATTTAACTTTTTTTTTATTTGTTTGACAATTGAAAATGTCTGTACATGTAAATTTGACAGATCATTGCCAACTGAGTGAGTCCTTGAAGATGCGGCGATAAATCGTCCTGGACTAATGGAGAGTTAAATAGGAAACAAAAATGACGAGAAGTGTTATTTCCGAGATATTTATCATAAATGCATTTGTTGTGGGGTGGTAAATGGCAAAAATTACATGCTTTCTGGAGACGCCATCTAGTGATCAAATAACAAATTATATATTTTTTTAATATTTAATCTTTTTTTGAAATTCGTAGATGTTCTTTAGGTTCACATATTATATTTGTAGTACTACACTAAATACAATTATGCAAATATATACTGAAAATAAAAACTCCTGAAATATGAGAAAAAATAAATGTAACACAAAAATTTAAATTTTTATAGAAAATATATATTATACAGAAAAATACACTAAATTTACAAGAAATACTTATCAACTAATTATGTATTGAACAAATTTTGTTCGATTTGTAAAGCCAAGTCTGCTAATTCCTTAGCTTTCTTACTTTTCTTCCTCTTACTTATAACCTTTTCCTCTGTTTGTGACAACATCTCTTCGATTTGTCTCGCTTCTTCTTCCGTTAATATGTCTTCCTCTTCTATCCTTTTTCGTTTCCTTTTCTTCTCTTCATTTTTGGCTGCACGAGCCTTTTCCTCTCTTTCTTTTTGGACTTTCCTCATATTCGCAATTTGTATGTCCAACTGCTTCTCCCTTTCCGATTTGTCTTCCTTGGTGTTAATTTGTACATCACTATGTTTCTTTACCTCCTTTTCTTTTTGTACTTTCTTCGTATCCAACTCCTTCTCTGTTTCTGATTTTTCTTGTTTCGTCTTCATTTGCACATCACTCTGTTTCTGCTTCTGTTTCATTATATTCAAAGTTTCCCTCATTTTTTCCTCGTGTTGCTGTTGCAGTAAACACA